TGCCAGGCTCCCTCGCTCTTTCCTTTCAGGCGATCCGACTCTTCCGTGGCGCAGAACTTGTTAACTCTAGCCATCATAGCCTTGTAAGAAGTAGGGGTATCATAATCTAACTTCCTGAATAATTCCCCCGACCTGAGAACATTCATGAACAGAGCAATGGAAGTCTTATCGTCCATAGGCTCCACCTCATTGATTGCTTCATTCCATCTTTGTACCAATTCACTGTTGGTCTCTCCCTCCTTTTGCTTTAGGGAGAAAAGATGGGTGAAGTGCTTTTTTGGCTGGAACCTTCCTCCATAGGCGTTGAGGAAAAGTTGAGCAAGATCTTTGAAGCAATCAATGGTCCCATTAGGAAGAGTGAGGAACCATTTTACGGCCGGCCCTTCCAAGGTTCCTACGAAGAGGCGACATTGGATCTCGTCCTCCACGGCGTGCATCAACATGTGAGTTTGGTACGCAGCCAAGTGATCATTGGGATCGGTGACTCCCTTATAACGGATTTCAGGGGCTTTCATACCCCCGGGCAGTTGAGCTTTCATCACTCTGGCAGTAAGGGGAGAAATTATCTCTACTGTGGGCCCAAAAGACCCGTCCTTGTCAACCTGCCTCTTTAGTTCCTCCATTTCTTTTCTCAATTTGAGGATGTCTTCGGCATCTTCATTGTCGTGCCCCCCAGAATTTTCTCCAGATTCCTCAGTCCTGGGTCCCAACCTTTGGGACGCATTTTTGCGCATCCTCTTATGTACTGATATGCGCCCTTGACTTTCCACCTCCTCATCCTCTCCTTGACCTGTTTCTCTCCCGGTCCCTTGGGACCGGGCCTCTCCTTCCTTGTTGAGCCACCCGATCAACTTTCGGACTATGGGGGAGTTGGCGTCGAATTTTTCTGCTGCTGCCTGGGAATCCTTTGGATGAGAACTCTTAGGGGCTTTAGAGTGGAAACTACGTTCACCAGATTTGTCTTGTGTTTCACGCCTGGATTGGGAGAGAGTTATTTGGTGTCTGAGATCCTCAGATGAAAGCTTCTCTTTCCCTTCCAAGTTGGTTCGCGCCTTAGCAGCAATTTTGTTCCTCTTGGACCGATTTTTGCCCATAGTAACAGTTGGAAACCTTTACTTGACGAAAAAGGCAGACCAACGGGAGATAGTGGCCCCTGAGCAAGAAATCGGTCCTCCTGTATGACCGGCTGATAAATGCGGTCCTCTGTGGAAGATCGGTCCTCCTTTCACTCCTTTTTTTTTGAACAATGGACCGACTAAAAAGAGGAGTCCTTCTGGGTGGACCACGAACTTATCTCCTTTACTTGGAATGGACCGCTAATTCTCCCTAGGTCTAGGAAGAGGTCTTTCCGAGTGAACAAGAGTGAGATATGCTCGCTATCAACTCCCGAGAAGGTTAAGAAGCTTCAATCGGTCCCACGGTCGGCGCCAGTGATGGATACCCAATATTTTCCCAAGGACTGTAGATCGGCCTAGGTCCAAATATAGGTATCCGGGCCTTATAATATTGAAAGATAATACGAGAATAATAATTAATAGTAATAGAAGCACTGCTCACTAAATAATAACTCAAATCGGCGGTCCTCTCCTTTATTCGGTCCTCTTAGGAACGGAATATGCTTGAGGATCGCCAGAATATCTTTTATTATTTACTCACGTATTTTCTCTCCTCATTACAAGATATCCTCCATTCCCCAAGTCCCTCTTTCTTTTATAGGCACTCCCCATCCATTATCCTCTTCAATAATGGCAGTGATTGGGGGAATATTCGTGACAGCCTTCCTCCATCTGTGGGGATGTATCTCAGCTTGAGGCCGTCCACTGGAGGACAAGCCTGTCCGTCATCTCTTGCTCCCTGTCCGTCCCTTTCTTCTTGTCCTTGTCCCTTCAATTAGGGGGGATTGCTCTAGACTCTTCCATACGATTTCTTTCCTTTTGGGGTAGCTTATTCTTAGTGGGCTGGGCTTCAGCCCATTCTTAAGCCCCTAATCCTTTTCCTTTTTCCTATCTTTTCTCACGGATAACTTTCTTTGACTGACCCAATATATTTTCTCTGGGTCGGACACTCCTTTTGATGGACGGAATCTAAATTAGGTTTGGGCCCAATTCGCTAGTATTCTCTCGATGGGCTTGGTTCCCATCATTTTTATTTCTATATCAATATTTAAATAAAATAGATTGAAAAAACTTTGGATTTTTCTTCGTTTTGCGCAATGGGAAGAAAGTTTTAGGACGGAGGGAGTATAATGTACTCCCTCCGTCCCAAAAAGTCTTTCATGTTTCATTTTTTGCGCATCCCATAAAAGAATTTTATCCCGTCTTGAATGCCAGAAAAACTTTCAAAATAACTTCTACCCACAATAAGGAAGAAATTTTGTAAATTTTAGGCATTTTAGATGTCGTTAGAAGTGTTTTATGGGATGCCCAAAAAATGAAATAGAAAAGACTTTTTGGGACGGATGGAGTATCTATCAAAGCTCGAAAGAGTTGACACGCAACACGTATGTATATGTGTAGCATAATGATCGCCATTTTTTGCCTTTTAGGCTTTAATTATATCAAATTACTCGTATTATTTGTTTGTTTTGTTTTCTTGACCTCTATTTTGTAGCAAATAATGAAAGGGGCCTTTCACCAAACCAAAATGTGCCTTTTTTTAACAGACCATTTTGTGGGCCAAATAATTATAGTTCTTTTTTTCTCGACTTTTCTTGAGAGAGTGAAGCTAAGGTTTTCACTTTAATAATTTTGCACTTTTCACAATGACATCATTTGGGGTGGGGTTTGGGTCAAACATTTTTGCTTGCAACTGTCAATACCCAATATGGGCACTTATATGTTGCCTTCTTTCATTTTCGTTGAAACTTTCATCTCTCCACTTCATTAAACATATATAGTGAGCCTACAAATTACTAATTGACAAGGCTAGGTTAATTGTTCTTGGTTAATTTGACCAAGTATAAAAATATCGAGTAAAAGTTTAATCATAAATCAAAATATAAAGATAAATACTGCAAAATACCAACTAAGACAAAATACATGTTATCTCTTCACTTCGTTGCCAGGGTATTTATTTATTGGTGTGAAAAACTCTTTGTTAATTTCTTGCAAACATTCTTTGTCCAATTCTCTGTGAGCAAAGTAGACTTCAAAAGAAAAGGAGCAAGTCCTTCTCTAAGTATGGAAGCATATAATCTCTTTCCAACATGTGGTTGACATGTAATTTCTTTTTTTGAGTGTCATTGACTTGATTACAATATAATATGTGTTCATACTATCATCAATTTAATGACGCACTAACAATAAATGTTTCTGTCTCCACTGAGGCTCGAACATGGGTGAACCTCCCCTTGAATCGTGATTGACATGTATTCCATAACTGGTAGCATATATATGTGACGTATTGTAGCCATGTGAGTTTAGACTTATGTGTCGCCCGCCGATCACCATCAAGCAACTGAGTTGACGGGTAGTAATATTATTCCCTTCGTTTTCAAAAATATACTTCCTACTTCGAACATCGCGTAAATTCTTAAATCTTTTAAAATGATTGTAATAACAAATTGATATAAAAATAAAAAATGCAAATAACATATTTCAAAATTATGTCAGGATATCTACAAAACAAGATGTGAGAAGAATATATTTATCATTTTATATGATCAACAAAATAACACCAAAAAAAAGTTATCAAAAGACCGTAATTTAAGAAATTTATTTAGGAAGGTATTTAGTTTATTATGTTGTCTTACAGCAACTTTGGCTCACTCATGTGTTAGTCGATTTAGGCCATGTTTGGCATCAGCGTCAGAGATTAGCGTTAGTGATTTGAAAAAGCTATCTGACGGTAGCTTTTATCGTTAGCGTTTTCAGAATTAATCTAGACCGTTAAAATTTTATCCAAAACGCTAACGCTAATCAAAAACGCTGTTACCAAACACAGCCTTAGACTAGACGGAGTTTAAACAGTCCGTCTTGACCGGTCTAACGCAAAAGACTCAAATGTTAATAAGTGTGATTCCTCATTTCACTCCTTGTTTTGTACTAGAATTTTTCATTTAACTTTTAAACATATAGAGTAAATTTTAGTTCTCAACTACTCCAATTATCAAATAAATTAAGTTAAAAGTAACTTTAATCAAACATCTTAAACAACGGCAGTCAACATAAAGATAAATGCTAAGTCAACATCACAAAATGCACAAATTACTATTTGTGAATCCACTAAAAAATAAAATGATCTCACATAATTTAAAAAAATGCAACTTTAAATTCACAAATAACAAATTTATACATTTATGTAGGCAATTGGTCTTCCCTCCTAATTGGGCCAACCATGTTGGGTTTGGCCCAGCACTCTCATGCTAGTGGAGTGGATCATAAATACTTAAATAGATTAATGCATTACTATAAGAAATAGTACTCCAGTTTAAAAAAAACAATGCTTGTAAATGTAGTTAGCAAGAACAATATTTATAGATTTTATAAAGACCACTAAACAAACCAATGAAGAATTAAAAGAATTAAAAATTGCACTCCCTAAAGAAGAAAAAAACTAATATTTACACCCTACAATTTACATATGAATAAAATTGAATGAACATATCACACACACACAATTATTGTTGTGAAGGAAAATCCTTGCCTGTCCAAAACCCCAAAACAAAGAACAGAATCCATTAAACAGCAAAAAAACACATGAGAGCAGAATTTACATTAGTAGAGGAGTTCGGTTTACCTTTGCTTATTTATTGACCAAGAATGTCAGTCACTGAGACGAAGAAGATGAAGGCGGTGACGATGAAGCCAACTCTGATCAATGTAAATGGAGCTAACAAAAATGCAGCTAAAGGAGAGAAGAGAGCTCTTTCTGTTAGCAAAAAACAAACATAAAAAACAAACACCACGAACACAATTCAGGGCTGCAGAAGGTAAAAATCATATCAATAGCGTTTGAGTAAGCGCTTTGAAAGCATTTCAATTTGAGAATGACAATATAATGTTTTGATCATGTGTTTGGTAGCTGTTTGATAGAACAAAGTATTAGAGTGGGAAGATTGTTTTATGTTCTGCAATTTTTTACTTGCAAATGATTGAAAACAAACACTTACTCTGGAAGACCATTGTGGTGAGGGATAAAAAAAGAACAAAACATAAAGACAAAAAGGAAGAAACCATGGAAATATGTTCTTGATAACAAAAAAAAAGAACAGTTTTTTATGTAATGTTTTTAGCATTTTACCAAAATCTTAGGTAATGTTTTTTTTTTTTGGTACAAAAACTCTTAGGTAATGTTTGATAAGCCTTAATGGAATATAAGGTAATAAATAATAGTGTGATGTAAATCTACAGCAAAATATTTTTTATTACAATGCATTCCACTAAGGCTTATCAAATGTGGTCTTAATGCACAAACATTTTACTAATAACAACATTTTAAGAGAAACCATGTAGTCTAACACTCACTAAATGTGCTTCAATTAAAAAAGAGATCATTTTTTTGTTACTTTGCAATGGGGACTAGGAAAAGAATGTAACATAGCTGCTTATCACCAAGCATATGCTCTACACCTTGTTTGTACTACAAGAGGTATGAATAATTAAAGGAAAAATTCATGCAAATACTCGGAGAAATTTGAGATTTTACACAAATTAGAATTATCACCAACGCTCCCATAAATTCAATATTTTTACAATAATAGTCCATGAGATTTTTAAGATGCATCTGTGATCAAAATGCAATCTTGAAGTATTATTATAAGAACATTGAATTTCCAGGAGCATCAGTGATAATAATTATGCAAAATCTTGGAATATTCTTGTAAAATCTCAAATTTCTAGGAATATTTGTATGAATTTTTCCCTTATGAAAAGAACATAAACATGTAATCCTGGAAAAGTAGTCACCTTTGTGGTACGGCTGAGCCCAGTTCTGAAAAGGTTGAATAGCTTTGAGTCATGAGAATGGTTCAAGAAAGTGCTTTTGTGACAATATCTTGAATTTCCCCAACTGCATCTTGGACACTACATAGAGCCATTTTCTTGACCTCCATCAATTTCCTTTTGGCTTTGTGTTGTCCGGGAAGGAGTCGGATTTCATTGCTCAAATGGATGCACTCAGCCGCATTTTCAGGAGATAGAAAGTTCAGAACAATGTTGACACATGACTGCATTTAATGTTTTCTTATATAAGAAACATAAAACAATCGGCCGTTTATGTAAGTTTCGTATTGCTGTCTTGAACTGTTAATGTTACCTTAAGTTGTCTAATTTGATATGGACATCCAGCTGGGATGATAACAGCTTCGCCGGGATGTTGCTCGAATGTCCATGGCTGTACATCTAACAAAATATAATCGACTCATTTCAAGAATCGGAGCAAACTAATAATTGCTTTTAAAAGACAAAGATCAGGAAATTAACTCACCGAATTCCTCTTTAAGCTTCAGTTTATGATATGCATCTAGAAAGAAATACTGATCAAGAACTGGATGCACAACCTGTAACATATTTAAATATAAGAAAAACAGACAAAATTCCGTTGCTAGTATTGCTCAGATGACCTGTAAAGACGGGAACCTGAAAAAAATAGGGGAAGAAAGAAACTGAAGGAAAATAATTCTTGTGTGTTTTGTTTTGCCAGAGAAAATATGAAGAATCAAATTTGATTTAACAAAATCAAATTTAACAAATACATAAATTCATTAGAAAAAATATCTAAAATTGCTTTGTTGAGTGTGGCCCAACTTGTTACTCTCCTCTGAATTTTCGTTCTTTTTTGTATTTTAAGACCTCGGGAAAAATAAAGGAAATGAAATATTGATGATGTTTTGAAACAATACTTTGTTTTTTTGTCAAACTTACTATCCTTCCAAACTAGCCCTCGATTTTCCTCCCTATTTTCTTTCCCAGTATCCCTAACACATTCCAAATTCCAAAATGCAGCTAAATTTATGAAGTTTTTCTTGGTAAATACTTGTTTAGAGTAGCAGCAAGAAGAGGTGAACTCCTTGGAGTGCTTCCTGAGATATTCCACAAGTTTTGGTACATCTTGTCGGCGGAAAATGTCCCACTGGGCCCCACAAACTGCAGTTTCTTTTTCTGTGCTATCATCACGAAAAGAATCATCATTTTCTGAATCTGTCAATCTGTCAATTGATTCGGAGCAGAGTATTGAGATGTCTGAATCAGATCCAGCATCACAATCACTATCAGTGAGCATATTACTGTCCTCAAGAAAAGTTTGGCCTTCAGTATGGGAATCAGCAGAATAAAAGGGCACTTTGGCAATGCCGTCTGGCAATTGCACATTTTCTGCATTCACATCCTGCAATCCCGATTCTTCAGTATCTTCACTATGCAGGGATGATTTTCCTCTGTGATCAATAGAATTGCTTGTGGTTTCCACCTGATCTCTAGTGCCAACCCTTTTCATCAAAGTTTTTACTTTGCGAATCTGTTCTGCAGAAATGGGTGCGTTTGCAGCATATGCTAAAATGTTAACCTGAGACCACAAAAAGAAACAAATCCCAATCTTTAAATATGACGATACTTATAAATGAAATGACTTCTTTGATTCTTTCAGTGCGTAAAACAATAAAAGGAAAAGACTTTCTTTTTTGCTTCTTTAGAAATGGTTTCTGTTATAGCCTAGTTCATAGGGATTTTAGAACAGATAACGTATCTATTGTAAAAAAAGAAAGCTAAACATGTTCTTGTTGTAAACACCTTAAATACAAAAGAAGCAATGGGAAGTTAAAAAAATATATAACGCTACAGTTTTCACAAAGAAGAAAACCTACCACATCGTATGTCTCATAGCAAAGGTTAGTGGTGAATTCAGTTCCCACGAGCTCTTCAGGCCAACCATATGAGATATAGATAGAAGGACCAAGGTCAGGTGCCGGTGTATCCGCTGGTGATTTCATGGCTAAATTAAGGACACCAGATTTGGGGTTCATATACTCCTGAAATGGTAAAGCTCGCATGATTTCCAAATAATGTGCTGGAAACTGTTCTCCGAATAAATGTGAGGAAAGCCACACTCTTAGCTTAACCATCTGTTGCCTAATAGTTGCTTGTGTTTGCCATTGCAAAGAACCAAAAAAGGTATTCTTTCTGGCAATTTCTACCTGCAAGCATGAAAATGCTAAACTATATGTTAATTATGCAACTTAGTTGGTATATTATTGTCGAGGAATCAACTCAATTAATTTATGTACAACTACTTTACAAGGTATGAATTAGACTTTGCAAGAACCACATTTCATGACCACATAATGAGATAGGGCAAACTCAGAGTTTGTTAATGAAGAGTTTAGTATAAACTCATGGAGTTAATGAGATTGTGCACAATACTGACCTCACACCAGTCCAAGGAATTTGGTGCTCTTTTAGGCTCTTTCTCCTTTGGACATTTAGGCGGCCTCTTCTCAAGGTAAGTGCAGAACATAAAAACAGGATCCCACGAAAGTTCTGAAGAGCTTCTGAGCACGTTTCTTACTATAACAGGATGTCCCTTCCCCCAATATTTTTGAAAGTCTTCAAAACTTTCCTTCTGAAGATCCTTCACACTGGGACAGTACAGAAAGTTGTCATCTGCATCTTGTCTTTGAGCCATCTCCATAAGAAAACTATTTACTGTGCCGTCATTTACATCTCCTGTAGTTTCATCAAACTTGGAGCTGCTGCATAATGCTGCCCGAGCACTAGTTTCCATCTCTTTGATCCAATTACAAGAATACATAGATCTTAGTTGAAGAACACCACTGCAACCACCAGATTCTGTGGATGGGCAAGACATGTCAGCATCACCATCACCAGTTGATTTATATCTCTCGCGAAGGTCGGAGCAGCAATGGATGCAAAGCAGAAAAGAACAGTTTGAGCAGCTTCTATGGTAATCCAGAATGGAAGTCTTACAATTACTGCTGCTCCATATTCAATTCCATGGGCCACAGTGGAGACGTTAGAGTCTATTACTCATCAACAACAAAACTTTCTAGTAATATCAAGGAAAATAGCAAAATCAGTTGTGTAACTAATGGAAGGTGACATTTTTTAGTCCAGCATTTACATGGGGTGGCAACTGGCAACTTTGCAGTATTTTGTTCTCCACAAATTACTTATCAGTCCTACACTACCACTATGTTTGGTTCGAGGAATTCGGTAATCAAGGAAAGGAAAAAAAATTCTCTCGTTTTCCTCACCAGAATGGAAGGAAAATGGTTTTCCTTCTTAGTTTATTTTTTCCTCTCATTTTCTTTTCCTCTCTAACCAAACAAGAAAACTTATTTTCCCTATCAAGTTCTTTTCTTTTCGCTTTCAAAATCCTTGAACCAAACATAGGGTACAAAAATCCCATCAAAATCCTAAAATTTATATCATGTGTGAGATAACGTTAAACATTCCGATGAAATCAGACATTCAGACCAAAGAAGTATCTTAAATTACACATTTTTTGAAGTTGTGGAACAAAAATTGCCACACCCTAAAGTTACAGGGCTGATTTTGCAATTCCCCTAGTAGTATTATAATCAAATTACCAGCAAAATAACTTCTCACAGTCCATAACAGCTTGCTGTATTTGGACTTCTGAGTGTGGTTTTCCTGTTTAATATAAACGGTATGGTTAGATTCTAATCAAAATATCCACAAATATTACATGGTAGAGTAGTCAGAAGAGAACCTGATATGTTAGCTTCTACCTCCACCTCAACACTCTGATCTCGGTTAATATTTTCCAGCACGGGGAGAAGGGAATGAACCAGATAATAAAGCAGTTGTCTTTTTCTAATCTTTTTCTTATCAAATTCCTGAAACCGGGAAGAATGCAGGCAGGTGCATCATCAGTAACATATTATTAATATTACATTGAGTTGCAAAAAAATAAAATCCAAACATTTGCTTAGGACATACCTTGAAGTGGTTGATATCATTGGGCTTTGACTTTGTGCAGATTCTACAATTGCAGCAGCCACGACAGACGGGACATGTCTCCTTAATTTCCAGCCTCTCAAGGTGCCTAAAGCAACTCAAACATCAGATGCTCACAAGTGATTCCCTCTCCAAGAAACTAAAATCAAACCAAACATAAAGAAAACCAGAAAGAAGTGCTTCCTATGATCCATTAATAAACCTCACAATTTTGCTCTTTGAGTCAAAATTTATTGTTTATAATATGGTAATTTAGTGTATTTTTTATTTTCATATAACTTAAATAACAATTGTCAATGATGAGCATTGGGAAAGAAGAAAGAGATTCAAAACAATTTAGGCACTTCAACTCACATGCATATTCTCCTATAGTACCAGAGAAGGAACAACATCGTATGAACAATGGGAAAAAACAATCTTTACCCTTTAATCTCTCATAAATGAGTTGCTACAATTTAGGTTCATTGAAGAAAAAGTATGTGCTGACGCAATGGGAAAGAAAACATCTATATAAGCACGGGGTGAGATCACAAACCGTTCTTTAATACAATCGATGCAAAAGAATTGTTTTTTGCAACTTGAGCACTTGACAGAAGTCCTGTAGGCAGCTCTTCTACACCAATGGCATCTTTTCCTCTTCACTTTCCTCGCATTCCTTGACAATGGCAGAGCCTGTGAATATTGATTGATCACATTCTATTAATAATACAAGTCATCATCACCGAAAACCAGTGATATAACACAAATAGACACCTACCTGCATTGTACAAATGGGAAGTGGTTCGATATTTTTTGACCGGAAATTCCTGGCAGAAAACGGGCTCATTTCGGATCCCAGCTTGACCTCCAAACCAGAGCCGGCGGAAGTGTTGAGGCTCTGAGAAGGCAAATTGGGGATAGCCATTACAGCATTGGGCAATTCGTGGGTCAACTCGACCGAGTTCTTAAGCTCCCTCTGTCTCTTCTTCTCCACCTGTCTTTTCAAGAAAACCCGAATCAGCTCCAGAGGCAAATCCCCTCTCTTGAGCTCCATCCTCTTCAATGCCTCATCCAAAGCCTCCGAAACGCAGCGCTTCCTCTTCAATTTCCTCTTGGAAACCCCAACCTCGCCGCGATTCTTGCTCTTCATGTTCCTCGCCCGTTCGAATTTCAGCGAATCCGGGACCTTCTGCTTCTTCTGCCGGTGGCGGCCCTGCATGTAGTGAAGGTCGCAGAGCTTCTTCCCGTCCAAGACCCGCCGCTTGCACCGCCATTGTCGTCCGTCTGTCCGGTTGCACCGGAGATCGTCCGGCAGAGGATCGTTCTCCGACATGGGGTTTCACTGTGCAGCGTTTCTTGATTAGGGTTTTGTTCAGAAAATGCCAATAACCCAAGAAAGAACAAAGAAAGGGCCTCAAAGAGACCCTATTTTAACACTGCCACTGCAATTAAATGACAACCCTTCTTGTTTCTGTAGATTTCTTTCTCTGGTTTAACCCCTCTTATATCCAAAACCAATTATCTTCTCTGCAATTAAGCAGCATATTTTAACACCATTACTTGGAAAAAAAGGAAATCTTTTTCTTGGTTTCTTGAACACTGCCTCCAAAAAATGGATCTTTTTTTGTTGAAACAGTACCCAAATCAGCATTTTGAAGAATTGTGTTGAAAATATTACGGAGTATTCAAATCAGTAATTTTTGGATTACCATTTTCAAAATTAGTCAATATTATTTTAAGTCACAGATTTTTATCACCACTGTTTGATCACAAACAAAGCCTAAAACAGTTGCTTTGTTTAAGGTTTGGTTCAAGGTGGTCCTAATTTGTGCTTAAACTTTGAGTTTTGTATGATGAGTAGTCAGTAGTAATGTGTCTAGTAGTTGTCAATTGCTAAATTGAGTTTTCTTGGGGAGCAAAATGTGAAGATCATATTACCATGGGGTAGGATCAAGTGTAGCTCTTCTGAATTTTATGTGCTTAATTACTAGTACTACTATTGGTATTTACGTTTGCCCTGTTTTTTTCAAAGAAAAACAAACACAAGTTTGAATGGGAGGATTGTCTTGTTGGTGTCTGGTGCAAATAATGAAAGTTAAGGGGTTCATAATAAAAGAGAATTTGGATCAGTTCATGAACAGATTAGCGGATTAATTGCAGTGGACTACTCAATGGTCTTATTGGTGACCTGCAAGCATTATTATCATCATTATTATTAATAAGATTATTACTCATTAGTCCATTTTATTCCGTAAATGTTTAATCATTATTATTATGTATGCTTTAAAAAAATGTTATGTTAACTTCACTTATGATTATTACATTTATAAATTACGGAGTAGTAAGTTTTAGCAATCGTATTGTTTTTTTTTTTGAAGAAAATCAATTGTACCGTTAAAATATTGTCAAAACATGCGACCCAGCCCATGTTACGATTTTAGTTCATGGAAATAAAAGAGAGTAGACAAAATCAAAATGACATATTAAACATTGCTCTTCTTATGAAATATTGAGTCATAAATGTATCAGTAGTCTTTTTAAGTACATATTTATCTCAATGCAGTTGGGATTATCCGGAATTATTGTTTGAAACAAATGGCATTATATACATAGTTTTTTAGTTGCAGATTTCCATCGCATATATAAGTTTAAATTGAATGGCACACACATTAGTAAGAGCATGTTTGGTTTAGTTTTTGCGTTTCAAATAAACTATTTAATACTAGTGTCTTGTTTTAGTATTTTGACTTTAGCATATATTTAAAAATAAATAAATATAGACATAAAGTATATTTTTATTAATATATTTTATCATAGTACTCTGTATAATGGTCATTTTGTTAGAAATTTTGGCGTATAACAGAACAACTTCAAACATAAAATCGGTGATGTCCACAAAATTATTTTTCCAAAATAATTATGGACATTTAATCTCACAAGTGAGACGAGTGTTTCAATATATTGCGCGTCAAAAAATGGTGCTCGGTTGAATGAAAAATTAATTCACAAAATCGAACACTTGGAAAAGTGTAAACCTCATGTATCTCACATCGAATATGAGACCTTTCATATTTCACAATTTATATGCTAGCATTGAATTACATGGTAAAGCAATCTGAGAAAGAGGGAGGAATGGACCCCTCGCGCACTGTGTCGCTGTCCATCCTTCCGGCTCGGCTTTGCATGGCACGACACAGCATGTCACACACGTGCGAATGCAAATGTGAACACGTGTTGGCGTGTGCAGACGTGCGAGCGACGCGTCGTGGCGAGGACGTGGGTCAACTCTTATCTTTTATCGGATCAATTTGAACGCGATGGGGCACTTGTTATTAGCAAAGCAGGTTAGTCATACATGCATCTACAAAGAGCCTCTCGTGACTCTTCGTATTGTCCCCCACTACCACAAAAGAGTCTCTCCCACTCCTATTTAAGGAACGTGAATCCACAATTGAGAGTTGCCACTCGAACTAAACCTTCTCTGCGTTCCCAAAAGTTTCAACTCTCTCAATTTTTGATCATTTTCAACAGCGAGTAAGTCTCTATTTTTCTAAGGTTGCTGATGCACTGCCTACTGCTCTAGATTTTACACGCTAGCGATTTTATCTTGAGAGGAGATCGTTCGCGTTAGTCAGTGCGAAAGGCGGACGATACTACCTTAAGGAAGCTCCAGCGACTCCGCTTTGCTTAACATTTGCAAGTTCTTCTTTCTAACCACACACCGAGAAGCTCCAGAATCTGTTCGACTCTCGATAACCAGTGTTCCTTCATTTATTTTATTTTATTTCTTCTATTGTAAAATCTAAACATATTATAAGTTTAAATTTTTTTGTTCTCGCTTTAATCTTTAATCAACAATCTTAAGGTAGTATTATGGATTTCGGATTCGGCATCGTAGGTTTCTCCGGCAACAGAATGAGTTTCGAAGCTCCAACTGGAACTATGTCGATGAGTTTAGATGTGAACTCCTCACATCTAAATATTTGCTTATACTTTGTATTTTGTATGTCGAATGCATGCTCTCTTTCTTACTTTATGGCGTGTTTGGTAGGGGAGAAATATTTTCCAGAAAAAAATTGATTTCATTTTCATGTGTTTAGTGACATTAATGCAAGAAAAATATTTTCCTTTAATGGGGGGGAAAACAAATTATGTTAAAAATCAAATAAAAAATTTCATTCTCTTTCCTATCGATCCCACACACACCCCCGAACCTCTTTTCACCCATACTCCTTTTTTACTTTTTAGTTTTACATTTAAATTTTAAATTTAAAATTTAAATGTTCAAATTTAAAATTTGAAATTTAATATTTAAAATATAAAATGTAAATTTTTAAAATTTATAAGTTTAAAAATCAAAATTTAAAACTTAGAATTTAAAATTTAAAATATAAAAATTTAAAATTTAAAATATTAAATATAAAATATAATATTAAAATATAAAATATAACATATAAAATATAAAAAAACTTAAAATATAAAATACAAAATCTAAATTTTGAAATTTAAAATTTAAAATTTAAATTTTATATCTAAATTTTATTTTATATGTTATTTTTTTAAAATTTTACTCCCTCCGTCCCAAAAAGAATTTCCTACTTTGATTAACGTGCAAAATCTCATGGATTTTAAAATGATTTTATTTGTAAATTGGTAAGGAAATAACACATAAAAAATTATATTTTAAAACTACATCGAAAACTCTACAAAATAAGAGGTGACAAGAATATTTTATTTTATCAAATGATCAATGAAAACACGCAAACAAATAAGAGTTATCGAGAGACCGTAATAGTAAACAGGAAAGACTTTTTGGGACGGATGGAGTATATGTTATATTTTAAATATTATATTTTATGTTTTATGTTTTATGTTTTATAATTTATAATTTATATTTTATATTTTACATTTTATGAAAGAGGAACTGTTTTAAAAAACGAATGGAGTAAGAAAACAAATGATTTTTTTTTGAGAAAGTATTTTCCTTCTTACCAAACAACGGAAAATATGATTGGAAAATATTCTTCAAGAAAAATATTTTACTTCTAACCAAGCACCCCCTTAGTCTCCTGTGCTTTGTCCTTTCCATTATGTTAGGTTCAAAGATTTCCGAAGGAAAAGAAAAGAAGATATTTCTCTTCTTTTCTTCATCAAAATGAGAAGGATTTGATATTTCATCCTTTAAGTACTAATTGTCTTTTCATTTTTCTCATCAAAATCAGAATAGTTTGGTATTCCCTCCTAAGTTCTAATCGTCTTCTCATTTTCTTTTTCATCTTCTTTTCTTTTCTTTCCTCTCTAACAAGACAAGTAAAACTATTTTTCATTTCATTTTCTTTTCTTTTCCCTTTTAAATTCTTTAACCGTGTGTTCGAGTTCACTTCCTTTTTCTTGGTGTAATTTGTTGTTTTTATACACTTATTTCCCGTAAAACTTAAAGGCGTACATGGGTTGGATATCCATCCAAGAAACGTTGTCCATACTCTCCAGCCTTATTTGCAATGTAAATAGACTTTTAAGTGTTAACGGCCCAACACAACTAGGCTCATAGAAGCTACATTTAACAATGCAATCTCTCTTAAATCTTTAATACTCCGTATGAGCAAGAGAAATCATGAATCCAAGGCCAGTCCTTTATTTACTTACTTTGAATTGAAAGTGATAAAGATTGCCAAGAATCAAAGATATATGCATAAACATGTCATAATTGATACTCCGTAATATAAGTTGTAAGAGTATATTTTGGCCCCGTTTGGTACATGGAATTCAAACTATGAAATTGGAATTGAGGACTTCAATTCCAATTATGGTGTTTGGTAACACAACAATTATGTGGATTTGGAATTGATAGTGCAAAAAATGAATTAGAATTGGGAGAATTCAATTCTATGGAATTGAATCCCATGGAATTTCAATTCCAATTCAATTCCAATTCCGTCAATTCCTTATACCAAACGGACCCTTTAAGTTTTTAACAAAACCCATAATCTCACAATGTGGGAGATGGTACCTGCCATACATGGGAGGAGATCATCACCAATAATCCCCACATGAGCAGGTTCCATTCTTGAAGTGGTGGAAACGGTGCATGTCGCGCACAATAATCTCTCTCTGGGTCACGAGAGAAATGAATTTCGTCGCGGTATGACAATCACCACAAACCCGAAGATTTTTCCTGACATTAATAGTTGTACCATGACTAGTGTTCAAAAGTCCGAATGCAATGGCCAGTTTCTCACTATGGGTATTGACCAGCTGCTCATGGACATCATCTTCCACATCATGAATTGAATCTCTATTGGGTGTATACCCAGCAGCTTTAATCCTCTCCATCAGAGTTTCAAGGTATGCATAGATTTGTTTTGACTGTGGGTGGGTTGTGCTACCCGAGTAGAACGAATGCACCTCGT